CCCCCCCCCCCCACCACCACCACTTTTACCATTTTTATTTATTTATTTAGGTTTACTTAAACCCTTAGACAAATAGAAAAGTGAGTGGGAAAGTATAGGCTGAGTCTGCCTTCATGGTAAATGGGAAGATGAATTAAACTAGAGACGGGATTCAGGTGAACAGTGCTCAGAGAGTGGCCTGCCTTTGCTCTGTTCTTTTACAAAAATTTTATGATTCCAAATTTGATAGAAAATCTAAAAGTAAATGTTAGGACTTCTGTGTTGTTTAAATCATCACACAAATACTTATGTAGACCATAAAGCCCATTATAGTTTTTTAAAATCAGCCACATTTACAGGGGTGGGGGGCTTTTCCCCCCTTCCTCCCCTCTTACCATTTTGTAAAGAGAGACCCTTTCTCAAGGGGGATGCACTTTAGCTCCAGTAAGAGCGGCAAGATTATATGCAGAACAGCTTTAAAGAGCAAAGATTAATAATTAGGTTTATAGGGGAATTGGTTTCTTTACATTAAATACTGCTGAGGAGGAATAGTAATATCCCTCCCCAGTGTGAGGCATTTGAGATAGAGGGGATGAAAGCCCCTCAAACATGATTACATCACCACCACCCCAGCAGTATTAGCACAGTAAATCCGAGGATGTGTTCACCGTGAGAAATACTCTGCCAAGATAACTCTCCCGTCCTCTGCATCCTGTATGTATATATATGTATATATATGTGGCCTCTTTCTTTTTGGAAGACACAGTGTACCTTGACCGTCCTGGTAGTAACATTAAAATTCTCATTAATAATGTTGACAGTTATGTTGATTATTTCTGCTAATAGACCTCTTCATTCCTGTTAAGAATTTTCAGTGTTAGTGCATACAGTCTAGCTTTGACTCTGCAATATTTGGTAAAGGAGGAGATTTTGCCTATGTGTTTCTTTTACTTGTGATTTCTAATGTGATAGATTTGTGACATATTTTAAGTTCTGAGTTTTCAGTGATTATACAGGACTGAAATGAAATATCCAGAGTCCTTTCTGCTTTTAACATACATGGGGGAGGTATTGAAGGACTGAAAACTATACCCCCAATATACCATTTTGGTGCATTTGTAAGATTTTTAAACCGAGGAATGATCGGGATATCTAAAAACCCAGCTGCACCAGGGGAAAGCTCCGTGCTGCAGCCTATCAGCTTTTGTCAACCTGCCAGCAGCGGAGCATACCAAGCTGCGCGAGTAATAAAAAAGGAATTAGAAAACTCACTGCTGAGGAGACGGTCAAATTAAACACCTTTTTGAAACGATGAGCATGTACACGTTGCAGTTCTACTAAATGTAGCTTCTTGGTGAGGTTGGGATTGTGCTGAGGCTGGTATAGAAGAGAAATGATGAAGCAGGAGTGGTCTGGTGACATTTTTCTGACTTGATTGGCTGGGGTGTGTGATGTAATAGGTTACAGTGCAGCCCCTTATAGGTTTTAAAATGAATTCCAAGACACCATTACAAAGAAAGCCGGACTCTTTTCTTATAACTGAGCTCAGCCAAGGAAACTCTCGCACAAATGTACAACACTGTGTGGAATATGGAAGACCTGGATTTAGAATATGCTAAGACAGATATAAATTGTGGCACAGACTTGATGTTTTATATAGAAATGGATCCACCAGGTAATACTGCAGTATTCTTGTGGAAAGCTAGTTAATTTTGTGGCATTTTTTTATTATATTTTTCTGACAACTCCTGTAACCGGAGCCTCTTTAGATTTCTATTTTTATTAATTTGTTCTAATTTAATAAGAATTTGTTTGATCATAGCTTGAAAATTAAACAGACTGCCTGTGGAAGCAAGCAGTTCAGGTTGTGTGTGGTAAATGCTTATTCTGACTCGAATGGATATGAATGGAATGCCAGTGTTTCATCCGCGTCTTTTGTTAAGATCTTTTGCTATTTGGGTTATATTGTTGTATATCGTTCCTTTAATTAAATTGATGTTTCCTTTGTGCTGCTCATCTCTGTTGACAGAGGAGACAAACAGTGTGGTACTTTGCAGGGCTAGCACTTGGTACTTTAGAAAGCATGTAAAATGTGGCAATAATTACAACTCGGTTCTAGGTGACCGGAAACTATTCTAAATCAAATGCTGAGACTTTGCCTCCTCTCTCTTATATTAATACTATAATAAGAAAAGGAGTTGGCTCTCCATTCCTTAGTCCTAGTCTTTATAAAATATTCTTGATAGACTCCTGAAATAATTTTTACAGAAATTAAAATAGTAACTGCTTTAAAACTTCTGACTTAGAATTTAGCTAAAAATCCTAGATTTATTTTGCTTTCTAAATTTTTAATCCCTGTGTTAGCCCACTTCCCAACTGAGAAATTTCAGAAACCCTGCAGGCTTTGGTTTGTCACCAGTTGGTATGTGAATACTGATTTGACATTGAGGAAGAGGAATATGGCTTTTTTAGTCAGTCGGCATGTGGGGCATGATTTTTCCAGTAGAATATTTAACATAGACACCAAAGAGATTTAGGTCACAGATGAGTTTCTTAAAGTGGCTTTTGGCAGAACAGTGCCTGAAATACTAAGATGAGAAAAACCTGATTCTCCTCTTGAAACCTATTGCTGTAGATGAGCTTCTTGACCACGCCAGCGTTTGTGGAGGGCAGAAGCCAAATTTGTCTCCTATAATTAAATAAGAGGAGGAAATTAAAGCCAACCCCTGTGATTCCTCCTGCTCATCTGTGCATGGTTTCTGACTTCTGCTGGGTTTGACTGGGCAGGAAACTTTAACATAACTAGGACCCAGAAGCAGAAAATGGCAGGACTCTGGATTTACTCTGAAATTCACTCAGATGGCCAGCCCAGTTTATTTGTTAGTCTCTAGGCTGTTCTCTTTTTCAGTCTTTTCTGGTTGTGCCATACTCTGAGAGATTTCTGATTTTCCTTTTTTTAAGAAAACGATCTTCCATTTTTCATGGAATGCCGAATTTGTGCTGTATTTCACACTGTTTTTATCTAAAGAAATTAGGTCTAATTTAAAATGTTTAATTGTAGTTGGGGTTGCAAACAACTTTCTCTTTCTCCTTAATCTGCAGCACTGCCTCCTAAACCACCAAAACCCACTACTGTGGCCAACAACGGTATGAATAACAATATGTCCTTGCAAGATGCTGAGTGGTACTGGGGAGATATCTCGAGGTAAGCCCGCAGCAACGCTTGCTTTCCCCCAGAGATAGCCTTAGGTTGGGGGAAGAAAAGCACCAGCTTGCTAAGTTCCATTCGTAGGCTACCACCCAGCATAAGCACTGAAGCATAGTTGGCTCTCTTCCAAAGGTGACCAGGGACGTCCCTGAGCCGCTGGGGAACTGTGTGCTGGGCACCACAGGAAATTACACCCCCGAGGAGTCCGGTTATTGAGGGAGATGTCAGGGCAGGGCCACGACGGGTGGCACTGCCTGAGGCAGCGAGCAGCCGCTCCTGTCACACAGAACTCTGAAAGTTCATCTATTATCTTACACACAGTACAAGAAAGTGGCATTTTTATTCTTAGCTTTTTTTAAGGGGGTTGAGGAGTTGGGGGTAACCTTTTTGATATCATGACTTGCTTTGCTTATTAGCATGTTTGGTTAAAAAGTAAATTAAAACATTGTACCACAGTTATAGAATGGTGAAAGTAGCTTTGTTTGTTTTTTAACTCCCATGCACCTGTTTATAATGAGATAGAGTTTGTAACATTTTTATATAAACAAAGAGGTTGTTAAGCTCTGAAAATGTAATTAATAAATGTAAATCTATAGGGGCAGGGAGTATAGAGGCTTTCTCTGAACTTTCTGCTCAATTTTGCTGTGAACCTAAAATTGCTCTAAAAATTAAGTCTGTTTTAAAAAATGCACCTAGAGTCACTAAGTCCTTGAAGTGAGCACTGTCTTATGTTCTTTTTACTTCAGGGAAGAAGTGAATGAAAAACTTCGAGATACAGCTGACGGGACCTTTTTGGTACGAGACGCATCTACTAAAATGCATGGTGATTATACTCTCACACTAAGGTGAGTCAAAGGATGGAGTCAAATTGGGGTGGTTTGAGTAGATATTAAAACACATTTATTTAAAGAAAATTGCAATGCCATTATATTTATATTGTATTTCCAGGAAAGGAGGAAATAACAAATTAATCAAAATATTTCACCGAGATGGGAAATATGGCTTCTCGGACCCATTAACCTTCAACTCTGTGGTTGAATTGATAAACCACTACCGGAATGAGTCTCTAGCTCAGTACAATCCCAAGCTGGATGTGAAGCTGCTTTATCCAGTGTCCAAATACCAACAGGTAAGCAAGTGCTCATGTTACCTTATTTAAGATACTTTCAATGCTTAGAAACATTTTGAAGCAGTTGAATTGCATGTAATGAAATTTGAAAAGCTTTGTACGCATAGTCACAGAATTGCAGTTTAGAATAGCTGAATACAGTACTCTGAGGGTTTTTCCATGTCAGATGTTTGGTTAAACAGTTCTTAATTGACTAAATACCTTACCAACTGAATTCCTTTTTCTTCTCCTCTCTAATCCTTCTAGGATCAGGTTGTCAAAGAAGATAATATTGAAGCTGTAGGAAAAAAATTACATGAATATAACACTCAATTTCAAGAAAAAAGTCGGGAATATGATAGATTATACGAGGATTATACCCGCACTTCCCAGGTGAGTTTTCTGTGAAAATCAGATTATAACTTTAGAAGTCTTAGTTATTAAAACCTACCAGGTATTATAGTGTTAAGCTTCAAAAAAAAGAGTAAGAAAAGGTTGAGTTCTTGCAGTAGAGTGGGGTTGAGAGACCGTGTGTTTGTGAATCCCTGCTGATTATCCTGGTAGTTTATTCACTGTGCCTCTAAACCTTGTAAAGAAAGCCTGTAAGTATCGCAAGATAAGTGAAGAGATTGCTATGAGTTTTAAGTTGATTTGACATAATTCTTGATAGAAGAATTCTCTTTAGAGTGGAAGCTAATAATATTTGGAAGCTCCACAGACATGGCTAATCTCGGAAACAGAGATTTAACCAGTTACTCTGCCGGGAAGAACAGAGGCAACCTTCTGTAATGTTCCCAGAGCCGGAATCTTCTCTAGGCCATCCTGCATCTGGGACCGGCAGGGGGAGGAGAGGGCACCCTGGACGTCGTAAACTGCTGAGAGCGTGGGATGGCTTTAACTAGGACGAAAACTTAGGCAACTGTCAAGCAGTCACCTTCCATAGACTGGATCAATTCCCAAAGGAAGTGCGTGTTTTCGTGACAGTATTTTAGTGGGTTTTATGACTTAAAGTCCCCCCTTGCTAACAAAGTACTTACCTTCTAGATAATCATGCTGGGCTTGTCTCACAGTAAGAAATGACCTGTCCTACAGAAAGGTGTGACGTGGTCTTGCTAATACTGTGTTGCAGGAAATCCAAATGAAAAGAACAGCTATTGAAGCATTTAACGAAACCATAAAGATATTTGAAGAACAGTGCCAAACCCAGGAGCGCTACAGCAAAGAATACATAGAAAAGTTTAAACGTGAAGGCAATGAGAAAGAAATCCAAAGGTTGGTCACCCACGCCTGTTTCCTTTGTCCTTGTGCCAGAGATAAGCAGAATCTCCTAAAACTGCTTAAGTATCATCTCGCTGTCTGCTTTGCATAGTTAAAACGGCAGGAAGAGAAAGCATCCCTTCCCTGGGGAAAACGGCTGGGGCTCCACAGCGAACCTCTCCGTAAACTGGGGGAACCTCCTGATGACCTCGGGTAATCACAGATGCGTGCCTCTTGCCCGCAGGATTATGCATAATTATGAAAAGTTAAAGTCTCGAATCAGTGAAATCGTGGACAGCAGACGGCGGCTGGAGGAGGACTTGAAGCGGCAGGCGGCCGAGTACCGGGAGATCGACAAGCGCATGAACAGCATCAAGCCCGACCTCATCCAGCTGAGGAAGACGAGGGACCAGTACCTGATGTGAGTGGTGGGAGCGGCGCCCGGGGGATTGGCGAGCGGGCCTTCAGGACGAGCTCTGAATGCGTTCTCTTTCCAATACCTTCTCAGGTGGTTGACTCAGAAAGGTGTGCGGCAGAAGAAGTTGAACGAGTGGCTGGGCAATGAGAACACCGAGGAGTAAGTGCCAGCGCCCATGGGGGCAGCAAGCGATGCTTTTCTTAGGGAAACGCGGGACTTGCTTTATTTAGAGAGCAAGCGAGGAATTTTACTGAATGTGGAACATCTTGTAGAAAATGTATAAACTCAGCCTCATTATCCAGAAGTTTTTTAAAGGGAAGGTTTAGGGAGGGAAGATACAGATTTATTTTTTCCCCATAATGCTGTGTCCATAATGATGTCCCTGAATGTTTGAAAAAAATCCCAACATATTTTTGGAACCCTTAGGAGAAAGGGCACAATTAGGCTTCGTATATTTTTGAAGCTTAAGCATATGTTTTGTTTGAATTATCTGAACACTGGCAGTCCTCCTAGTCCATCAGTTTCCTGATCTAAACTGGACAAACAGGATTGTTTAATACCTTCCTCCCTGCCCAGGCACCTGAGCTTAGGTGCTGACTGGAGAATAGAAAGCGTGTAACTTACCCGCCGACTCTGTTCCGGGAGGTTGCGTGGGGCCCCACTGGGTGGGAGGGACACTTGGCCGGAGAGGCTGGCGCTGAGTCAGCGGTGACCGCTGGTCAGACTTGCTGTGGGAGGGACACGGGCGGGCTGGAGGCCCCCGTGCACGTCCCTGAAACGCTCTCTGCCGCCTCCTCAGCCAATACTCGCTGGTGGAGGACGACGAGGACCTGCCCCACCACGATGAGAAGACCTGGAACGTGGGGAGCAGCAACCGGAGCAAGGCTGAGAACCTGCTGCGTGGGAAGCGGGACGGCACTTTCCTGGTCCGGGAGAGCAGTAAGCCCGGCTGCTACGCCTGCTCTGTCGTGTACGTGTCTCCAGCGGTCATGTCTCCTGAAGGGGTCCCATCAGCTGGCCGTGGGGCGGGGGCTCAGAAGGCTCTGCCCTGGGAGAACCCTGCGGCACAACCACCTAGAAGGGAAAGTAAACAGGCGTAACACTGTAAAACCTGTTAATAGAGTGCAGGGAAGAAACCTGCCTTGTAGTCGGAGATTGGGGCTTCGGTCCCAGTTCAGCACCTACTTTCAGTCATTTTTCTCATCTCTGGAGTGGAGATGGCCCTGCTCCGAGGCCAGAGTAGTCAGCAGGAGGTACCTCGCAGAGCTCCCTCCGCAGGTGGAAAGTCCCCGTCAGGGTTAGTTCCAAACAACAAGAGCAGAGAACCCTGGTCATTGTCCTCGAGGTAATTACACCCAGGAGAAGACATTTTTGTTCATTTCTTAAAGTGCCCCCCAGGCTATTGAGTGAACAGTGAGTTTTGGGTCACTGACGTCATTTCAGAGCACATTGTCATCTGCGAGCGAGCTCCGTTCACGGGGGGGCCTGCAGGGGCGCCCGCGGTTCCGTGCTTACTGCACTCTAGGCATTCGGCCGGGCACGTTCCCTCATTTCTCAGAGCCGCCCCGTGACACACACATTCCTATCATGTTCCCCTTAGACCATTTTAAAGGTGACAACAGCAGCCCAGCAAAGCAGGGTTACGTACCGGCGTCACCTGTAAGTGGCAGCCGTGTGCCTGTCGGCTAACCAGGACGGCTCCCCACGCGGAGACTGGCCCGTGCCGAGTGTGCTTTGTGACGGTGATGATTTTGCAGCGTCACGACGTGTCCTCTCTCCTCTCTAGGGTGGATGGCGAGGTGAAGCACTGTGTCATCAACAAGACGGCGACCGGCTACGGCTTTGCCGAGCCCTACAACCTGTACAGCTCCCTGAAGGAGCTGGTGCTACATTACCAACACACCTCCCTCGTGCAGCACAACGACTCCCTCAACGTCACGCTGGCCTACCCGGTGTACGCACAGCAGAGGCGATGAAGCGAGGGGCCCCCCGGTCCTCCTGAAGTTCGGCCACCCGGGGCCTCTGGAACGCACGGGCTCCTCCAGCCTGCCTGTGAATTGAGCTGCGGAAACCAGGTCTTCAGATGGGACTCGAGCTTTCGACACAAAGCAGCGGGGAAGACACGCAGCCCAGCGCCGCGATGACCAGACGTTGCTAATCTGGAGTGCTGCTCCTTCCTTCCTTCCTTTGTTTCTTGGTTTAATTTAAAGCCACCACAACACAAAGAGAAAAATACATGCAAAAATCTCTGCGTGCAGGGACAAAGAGGCCTTCAACCATGGTGCTCGCCAATGTTTCCGAAGCTTTACCAGCTCAAAGTTGGGACCTTGCAGACCAGAGGGTGGACAGGCTGTAGAGCCCTGGGCCGGCGCGCTCGGTCCAGCCTGGTTTAGCCTGGTGTTGCTGTGCACGGTGGGCCCAGACTCTTGCACTGGGATTGCTTCACGTTCTAGCAGGTGGACATGTCGCAGAGCCGCTTCCGCTCACAGGGGACAGGGGAGAACCTCGGCTCTCGACGTTCGGAGGAAACACTGTTGCAGCAAAGTGCCAGAAAGCGTTTTGTTTAAACTTTTCAACAAAAACAAAACCCACCAACGGAAAAATGGAACTTAGACGACAGGACACTCAGTATATAAAATATGTACATAATATTGGATGACTAACTATCAAATAGATGGATTTGTATCAATACCAAATAGCTTGTTTTGTTTTGTTTTGCTGAAGGCTAAATTCACAGCGCTATGCAACTCCTAATTTTCATTAAGTTGTTATCTCGGTTTTAAATGTACCTTCAGAATAAGCTCCCCCTACCCCAATTTTTGTTGCTTGAAATACTGTTGTCTTGATTTTTGTGTTAATACTCATTTTGTTATTCTTTTACTTTTTTTTTAAAGAAGAAATGTACAGGATGCCGGTTTTAAAAAAAAAAGGCTTCAGAATTAAAACTATGAAATATTTTACAGTCTTGTACAGAATACTTGGCTATTAGCCCAAGGTTAAAAAGTTCATAACAGATTTTTTGGACTAAATGTTTCGTTGGGCAGTGCCTGATAAGCTTCAAAGCTGCTTTATTCAATAAAAAAAGAGAAAGATATATGATTATGACAAAGTATCGCTGAGTTCGACAATGTTGTTTCAAGACTCTTAAAATACGGTACCTGGCAATGTTTGTTCCGTAAAGAATTGTGAACTTCTTGAAGGGGGGGGGTAGCAAAGGGATGTACAGGTGGGGGGTGGAATGCACTTTGTTCTCATGATTAGAGAAAAAGTGGGCAACTGCAGAGCGGAGTTGCCTGTACTTCAGTCTTTCGCTCTCTGATCTGCTAGTTGTTATCAATTATGGCGATTTCAAACCCGCCGGGACTAACACAGCGCAGCTGGTCGGGTGTTTCAGGTCTTAGGAAGGACCCGCTCGGAACACCGACTTCAAGGTATAATTGCTACACTTAGAAGATGTCCCTTCAACATTAGACTGCCATTACAGCAACAAACACTCGTTTCAGAAAACGCATGATCTGAGAAAAGATTTTTCTGAGAGATTTTTATGCCGCTGTTCATTATTTTCCTAGCTCCCCACTCGCGGTAGATCATAAAGCAGATAGGCATGGTCGGAGCTGTTAGCGCTCCGGGCTGTGCAGAGCTCGTTGGAGTCACGGCCATTTCAGGAATCACAGCAGCCTCCGCCAGCCCAGCAGCCGCATGTGCTAGACTTCGCTGTGGGGGGCAGGAAGGGGTTCTCAGCATCACCTTTGCTTCGGGGCACGAGTGAGCGTCTCCCTGACTCACATGCACAAAAGCCTTCTGTTCAGTGGAAATGTGCATGGAATGGGAGGGAGAAAGGGGTGTCACAACCATGGTCACCAGGCTGGGAGACTAGGGTGGAATCTTAGTTTCAGTTTTTCTTTCTTAATATTAGATTCACCCACATCTTTACTTCTCCTTCCTTCAAATATTGAGGTTGAAGGGGTTTTGTTGTTTTAATGTTGCTCCTTTTAAAATTCTTGTCAAAGAATTTGTCTAGCAGCTGACTTAATCAACTGTAGAATGTATTTTTCCCCCTTTTTTCATGAAGCTACTCATATCGAGAGCAATAGTTAGTCCTACAGCCAGACTGTCGGACCTCAGACTTGACTGTACCGATCTGACCATCTCCCTCTCATCTCCAGACAATTGGTGATTTTCCTGGTTTGACTATGAGTTTCTGGTTTAAAGCTATCCCTCCACATCACACAGAAGTCTAGCAATTAGTTAATAGTTTATAAACGAAGGTGGTTCTTTTTTTTTTTTTTTTTTTTAAACAC